AACCAGGCGCTGCTGCTATCTGCTGGGCACTATCTTTAAAAAACAGGAGTTGCTACTTGAAACCTCCAGTGTCTTATGAAATGGTTTTATGTATGAGATTAGAGCCATTTAAGCTATCTTTTTCCCTGAAAAGAACCAAAGAAGGGAGAAAGAAGAGAGGACACATACAGTATAATAGATATCACCCACAACAAATTTTGATTAAGAATTAGGGCCGGGCACGGTGGCTCAAGCCTGTAATCCCAGCACTTTGGGAGGCCGAGGCGGGTGGATCACGAGGTCAAGAGATCGAGACCATCCTGGTCAACATGGTGAAACCCCGTCTCTACTAAAAATACAAAAAATTAGCTGGGCATGGTGGTGCATGCCTGTAATCCCAGCTACTCAGAAGGTTGAGGCAGGAGAATTGCCTGAACCCAGGAGGTAATTGTTTAGACGCTCTCCAGTGAAACTTTGCTTAGCAAGAGCCTCTCTCCTTTACACAACAGCTGGCTGAAAATCAGACCTCACACAGAGATTCCTGATCTGTGGACCTCACCATACTTGATGACTTGATCAGTTTCATTTCTCTTTCTCTTCTCTTTTCCCCTCCCCTCCCCTTCCTTCCTTTCTTCTCCTCCCCAGACAGGGTCTTATTCTGTCATCCAGGCTGGAATGTAGTGGCGCCATCTTGGCTCATTGCAACCTCTGCCTCCCAGGCTTAAGTCATCCTTCCGCCTCAGCCTCCCAAGTAGCTGGAACTACAGGCATGCGCCATCATGTGTGGCTAATTTTTGTATTTTTTGTAGAGACGGGGTTTTGCCATGTTGGCAAGGCTGGTCTCAAGCTCTTGGGCTCAAGCCATCCATCTGCCTTAGCCTCCCAAAGTGTCGGGATAATAGGTGTGAACCACTGCACCCTGCCGTTGAATCAGTTTCTGCTTCACAAATTGGAACGCCTCAGCTCTGAAACAGCCAGAAACTCAGAGTAGTGCCTGCCGCTGTAAGCTAATTCTTTACCCATTTGCTTTTGTGCTTTTGTAATCATTACCAGTTTCTCTGTTTTCTTCAAGTCAATAAAGTTGGAAATCTTGGATAAGGGCAGTGGTTTTCAAACTTCTTTTGCTCAGAACATCTTACTATACTTAAAATTACTGAAAACCAGCAAAGAGCCTTGGTTTATGTGGGTTGCATCCATTGGTGTACTGGAGTCAACTTGTACCTGCTCACAAGAATTCAGTATTCAGGAATTTTTTTCAAGCCAACTGTTAAAACTGTTGGGAGTTTAAAACTGGCGAAGGAAGAAGTATTCACATCATGAAAACTGGCAAATGCTACCGATCAGGCTGTGTGTGTGTGTGTGTGTGTGTGTGTGTGGATCCCATTTAGCAGCACATCACTGATTTTTTTTTTTCTTTTTATTTTATTGAGACAGAGTCTTGCTCTGTTACCCAGGCTGGAATGCAGTGGTGCCATCTTGGCTCATTGTAACCCCTGCCTCCCAGGCTCAAGTGATTCTCGTGCCTCAGCTTCCCGAGTAGCTGGGATTTCAGATGTGCACCACCACACCCAGCTAATTTTTAAAAAATTTTTAGTACAGATGGGATTTGTCCATGTTGCTCAGGCTGGTCTTGAACTCTTGACCTTGTGATCTGACTGCCTTGGCCTCCCAAAGTGTCGGTATTACAGGCTTGAGCCACTGCACCCTGCTGCCAATGATTTTATCTACTGATATTTTCCATATTAGACATTAAAATAGAGAACTTTTGAAAACCTTTATTTCAGCTAAAAATGACAATAAACCTACTACATGTTAAAATAAATACTATATTTTTCGTAATTTTTTCCCCAAAACAATAATTTAAGGACTCTGAAGAGTTGCATTGTTTTCCATTTGTGCAATCTCTTTAACGACTGGTGTAACAGGAGACAGTCAGATTCTCATCTCTGCTTCTGCATTCAATCTGTTGCACTTTCACATGTTGTGTAGCTTTTGGGAAACTCATCTGTCCACTTGTGAGAGCATCAGACCAAAAAAGGCAAATAATATCTTGGTGTTTTAAGAGAGTTTTGACCTTGCAGTTCTGAAAGAGTCTCAGGAACTCTGAGAATAACTGCATTGGAGAATTTCTCCTTTCTTCTCACATTGTAGCTCACTTAACCACACCTCCTTCACAAAACACAATTAGGTTTATCCTGTGGTCAATTACTCTCCATGCACATTTGGTCCAGTAATTTTGAAAGGCATAGCCACACAACATGGTATTTATGCCAGGAAATTACTACTGGTGACCTGTTTGTTTTCCCCCTTAATGTTCACGACAGCACCTGGCTGAAGACAGGCTACTAGTGGATGGTCCAGGCCCCAGAAACGTAAATAGCTTGGCCATCAATGCTGCTTAACTTTTTCCACTTGTTTCTGTAGCTCAACTTCCTCAAAGACATGCCAACAGTTTACTTTCTTAAATTCAGAAGTATAACCTAAAATTTTCCAAGTGTATATTCAATAGCCAAGCATTCCATTTCCTTAAAAATGCTATTTTTGGCTTGATGGAAAAAACATTTTTTTCTTTTTTTTTGGAGACATGGTCTCACTTTGTTGGCCAGGCTGGAGTGCAGTGGTGTGATCATGGCTCACTGCAGCCTCAGGCCTCAGATGATCCTCATACCTCAGCCTTCTGAGTGGGTGGGACCACAGTGCCACCATGCCAGATTATTTTGTAATTTTTTTATTGAGACTGGGTCTCACTATGTTGCACAGGCTGGTCTCAAGCTGCTGGCCTGAAATGATCCTTCAGCCTCAGCCTCCCTAAGTGTTGGCATTATAGGTGTGAGCCACCGTGCCTGGCCAAAAAACATTTTTGTATTAGCAAAATTTAAGTGTTTTTTGAACTAAGTCTATTCCTTGAAACACATGTGAAGAGTCCAGACCTCGGAAACTTAAAAGGCTTGTGTGTTAACTTATAAAAATTCTGTGTTAACAAAATCCTTGTTTAGTGAAAACAATTTTCATTGACTATGAATCTAGATATAATGTACAAAAAACCTTTTGATTTTCAACCCTGAGAAGTACTAGTCACCTCACTTTAAATTTCCCCTCTTCCCTTCTGCCTGAGGGAGTGTTAGATGGCAAAGGACTGTCATTCAGCCAGAGAAGACAGCACAGCCCTTCTATGGATTTCCTTTCTGCTCTAACATTTAATTTTTCTCTCACTAGGGAAGAACTACAGACACTACCCATGACATCTATAACTCAGAAAGATGAACATATTCTCAATAAGCTTAAATTTTCCTAAGAAGGGATTAAGAGAATCACTCAATGTCTTTGGCAGAAATGATGCTGTTTTTTTTTTTTTTTTTCCTTATGCATTTGTTCTCCCAGATCCATTCTCCATGCTCAAGGAAGCTGATCTTTATGGATGAATTCACCACTGAGTTTTGGGTTAAGATTAGGATCAAGAGGAGGCCTCACAAGAGATCAGAGGGTAAGGGAGAGGGGTCAGTGTGCTCCCTCCTCTACCTGGGCCTTGGGGCGGTAATAGCTTCCCCTGATTGCTAGTCTCGGGGGGTGCTTCACCACTCCCTGTTGGTTCCCTTAACCCTGTCCATACCTCTGCAAACCACCTCTTTATTAAATGCTCTTCAGTTAACCCCTTAAAGTATGCCAGGACCAGAAAGATACAATACTAATTTATTCCAAAGAGATACCAAGTAAATGTTCACATTAATTAATACAGGTTACATTTTTAAGAGTGAACACAAAAACAGTGACATGCTATTTTACAAGTACAGTAATGACAGCATATTTTAATATATACAGACTAATAAACAATGACAGTAAACCTCCACTGATTTAGATAAAATGAATACAGTCACTAAATTAATAAAACCAGTGCTAGCTTCTACTTACAATAGTTATATTTCATGTAAGTTATTCTATGCTATTTGGAAATAGTTTGCTTTTTTTTTTTTTTTTTTTTTTTTTGAGACAGAGTCTTGCTGTGTCACCAGCCTGGAGTGCAGTGGCATGATCTTGGCTCACTGCAACCTCCGTCTCCCGGATTCAAGTGATTCCCCTGCCTCAGCCTCCTGAGTAGCTGGGACTACAAGCATGCGCCACCATGCCCGGCTAATTTTTTGTATTTTAGTAGAGACAGGGTTTCACCATGGCCAGAAAGGTCTCGATCTTCTGACCTCATGATCCACCTGCCTTGGCCTCCCAAAGTGCTGGGATTACAGGCGTGAGCCACTGCACCCAGCAAATTTGCTCTTTTTAAATAGGTAAACATTTGCCTTGCAACCTTCTATTTTGTTTAAAATACTACCATTTTTTCACAAGAAAGAAAAATATGTTTGAACCTAATTTCCAAATTACTTTGTGAATTCCATGAAGATTTTCTACACTTGATACTTAGGAGGTTAAAAAATGCTTTTAAAATCATAGAATAATTTTCCTAGATTTCAATGCCAATTCCATTTTCTTCTGTTATTTCTTTTCTTCTTCTTCTTCTTTTTTTTCTTTTTTTGAGATGGAGTCTCACTCTATTGGCCAGGCAGCAGCGCAGCGGCACGATATTGGCTCACTACAACTTCTGCCTCCTGGGTTCAAGCAAGTCTCCTGCCTCAGCCTCCTGAGTAGCTGGAATTACAGGCATGTGCCACCATGCCTGGCTAATTTTTTTGGTATTTTTAGTAGAGATGGGGTTTCACCATGTTGGTCAGGCTGGTCTTGAACTCCTAGCCTCATAATCTGCCTGCCTTGGCCTCCCAAAGTGCTGGGATTACAGGTGTGAACCACTGCACCCAGTCTTCTGCTATTTCTAAGCAGACTGACATAATTGATTCTTAAAATCTGATTTGAGCAATCTATTGAGCAAAACATTTGTAAATAAATAGTGCCCAATTAAATCAGACTTATTTAACAAAATATATGTCTTGTCTTGGATTATGTTTTCACTTTAAGTTATAATCACAAGAAATAGTAACCCAAAGTTTCAAAGTTCTTTAGCTGACAGGCCTTGCTTGTGTGAAACATTTATTACACATACATCACACTCTATCTGTCATCTACTTTGCTTCTGAGGGCAGGTCTCAGTCTTATTCCACTCTGTACACCCAGCACCTATCTGAGTGCCCAGAGCACATAATGGGTACTTCCATATCAGAACTGACCTTTCAAGACAACTACTGAACGTGTTTACACCCAGTAGACAGGCATCCAGAAGTCCATGCCTTCTTTCATTGTTTTTAAGATGGGTAGAGAAGTTTTTCACGGTCATTACCTCCTAGGATATCACATTCTGCTTTGCCAGTTTCTCATAAACATGATCGGTTCACAGCCGATCCCATGGGGAAGGAGCAAATGTGGTGGCCCCAGTCTCACTGCTTTCTGCGAGGCTCAGCGGGAGGGTTTCTGGCCAATCTGTGTCTGACATGGCCCAGGCATGTGTCTGCTGCTCTGAGTCCTCCATCAGGGGCAGACGCATGCAGCTCTCAGGAATAGGCTACTCTGAAAGCCAGCGTACCTTCACTAGAGGACTTAGGCTCAGTTTGGCTTATGTATACCATGTATAAAATGTAAAAAATACTACCCATATCAAAACAGGGGGTTTTCATCTGTTTCCATAATTTTAGGAATTCAAAGTTGGATATGTTTAAAACTGAAAACACTAGAACTTCTACACACAGATAATACTAAGTCTTATCCCTCGATAACTTAAACCTTGCTGTCAAACAATTTCAAAATACACTTATTTGCAAAAGTGGTACAAGCCCAAACTATGAAGTCTCTCACTGCTGATAAATATCTTCAAATGTTCAGGGCTAAACTCTACCAACCTAGACTTAAAATCAGAGAATCAGAGATTATTTCTCTAATTGCTGGGAGGGAAGAAAAGAGGGTTTCAAACTGCCTATTCTAAACTGCACTGTAATAATATATGTGTACGTATACATCTACATACATACACACGTATAAATATGTATATGTCATCTAGCTATATCCAAAAGTGACATTCAGTTATTACTGTAGCATTGGCAATATACCCTTGGAATAACACGGTCTTCTAATCCTGTTATCTTTCTGATAATTAACAAAAACAGATGCTGGATGGCTCCCATAAAAAGCAGGCATGCAAGTCGTACATCTGTTGTTTTAGGGGGTGAAGTCAATACAGTTTGGGCAGGGACTAATAGAATACTCAAGTTATCCACTTTTATAAACGTTTCTTTTTAACCTCCCAGCAGTCCCTTTTCCTAAGTTAACAGCTTTTTGTATATGCTGTTATTCAGGTTACTAGAGCAGGTATCTATTTTACTTGCCACCAACTGCCCACTGCTATTATAACTGCTGGGATCGTAACTTTCTCTGCAGCATAAGATACTGTAGAGGTACCTCTGGCACTCAGAGGAAGCGTAATAGTAAATCAGGGGGTCGATGCAGCAGCTTATGCTGCTGACACAGACACAGAGGAGGTAGGCAAAGTAGGCAGCCTCTGTGGTAGAAGTGTGAAAAAGGAATGAGTAATGCGCAATCAGGAGGATGTTTGTGGGTCCGAAGCAAATGATGAAGACGCAGAAAACGGCAGCTGACAGGAACAAAGCCCGGGACTTCTTGCTGCGGTTGGCAATTGTGGAGGAGCTAAGACATCGAATGATAGACACATAACAGACTGTGGAAATGAGCAACGGCACAAAAAAGAAGACGGCAGAGAAGGCTGAGAAGTAGTAGGCAAAGTAGCCTTCAAGCAGAGTTTCGTTGAGCACATCATGACAAGTGGTGATGTTGAGCCCGGGCACCTGGATGGTTTGCTCCTTGAGGAGCAGAGGCACTACCCCTGCAATGGCCAAAGCCCAGATGGCCAGACAAGTGAAGGAAGCCCTTCCCAGAGTACGCCAGGAGAGGGACTGGATGGGATACACCACAGCCAGAAACCGGTCAATGCTTATGACTGTCATGAGCATGATGGAGGCGTACATGTTACAGTAAAACGCTGCAGTGACGAAGCGACACAATTCAGACCCAAACTTCCAATCACTGCCGGAAAAGTAATAGCTGATCTTAAAGGGGAGCACAGACACAAAGAGCACGTCTGCCGTGGCCAGGTGCAGCATGTACACCACCGCTGGCTTCTTGACCTTCATTTTCAGGATGAACACAATGATGGCCATGATGTTTAGTGGGAGGCTGACCACAAACACACCCGTGTACACGGAAGGGACAAAGAGTGTCAGCCAGGAGCTGGTCAGATATCCGGAGGCATCTTCTGAGATGAACGCAGGCAGTGGTTTTTGAAGAGGATGGCTTTTATTGATGGAGATTGATCTGTATTCAGTTAACCCACTTTTGTTTTTCTCCTCATCCTCCCAAAACGGTTCATATTTATCATCGGGATTCCTGAGAAAAAATGACCGAAGACCTAAGGTGGCATTTGTTGCTTCTGACTCTGAAAAATAAAATAAAAAAATTTGTAAATATAAGAAGTGAATGCATCAACAAGGCAAAAGCAACAAGTGGACAGCGTGTTTTACTTTTGTTTGTTTTATGTTTTCTTATCAGGAGAGTGGGTGGTAAAGAGCAGAAGAGGCATAGATAGACTTTGGTGGAGAGTAAGCCAACTGAAAATACCGTGCAACATTTGTCTTGATATAAGCAAATACTTCTAAAACTCTGCCCCTCAAAGAGACAAAGGTGAATGAGAGTTACCCTGAAGACATCAGGAAAGGCTGAGTACTTGACATAAATGAATCAATCAGTGATTTCTACACTAGCCACTGTCTATATAAACAAATCACTCCCAGTTTCGATGGCTTCTCTTTCCTCCATATGTCTTCACATGCACATTTCCTCCATTTAGTTTGTAGCCATCCATGAAACTTGTCCCTTTTCAATGGAAAAATCCACATAGAAAGTTGAGGAAATTTCTTTCTTTCTTTTTTTTTTCCTGAGACAGAATCTCACTCTGTTGCCCAGAGTGGAGTACAGTGGTGTGATCTTGGCTCACTGCGACCTCTGCCTCCCGGGTTCAAGTGATTCTCTTGCCTCAGCCTCCCATGTAGCTAGGATTACAGGCGCATGCCACCAGAGGGGATTTCTTAAAGGTTATAGAGTTAGAGGCAAGTTCATAATGGGACTCAGGACTCCCAATTCTACGAGCATTGTCCATGACAGTAGTTTTCCTCTATAGTCTTCAGTTTGCTTACACAGGAGAATGTAGAAATCTCTCACTATATCTGGGTCCAGGCCACAATCCCTGGGGTTATCTCCCAACATAGCCACAAGGTGCCCATCACCTCAGTCATTCTTATGCTTCCTTCCTGAGCAGGGCAGCAGAGCAGCAGATGTTCTTGGCCACTTGTGCCAGGCCAACCAAGGTTTCTGGAGTATCAACCAGATATCAAAATAAAGGCTCAGCTGTACATGTCCTTTCCCACCAAAAAGGTCCATTTGAAATTCTCATCAGAGAAAAGCAACATTTAGCAGCTGAAATTCAGTCAGCTCTTCCTCCCAATGACCTTTGCTAAAATTCTGCCATTGAAGAGAAACAGACAAAAAAGGCTTTGTTGGCTCTTGGGAAGCTGAGGAGGGAAGACAGAAGAGACAAACCACAGAGGAAAAAAGGCAAAGTCTGTGTTACCGGAAGTGCTCACAACAAAGGCTGGACACACAAGTCACTTAGAAGTAATGTTAGAGGATTTAAATATTGGCAGGGGCTATGTGTGCTGGGTCATGCCTGTTATCCCAGGAGGTTGAGACCAGCTGAGGCAACATGGCAAGACCCCGTCTCTACAAAAATTAAAAATTAAAACAATTAGCCAGGCATAGTGGCACTTGCCTGTAGTCCTAGATACTCAGGAGGCTGAAGTGGGAGGATTGCTTGAGCCTAGGATTTCAAGGTTACAATGAACTACGATCATACCACTATACTCCAGCTTAGGTGACAGAGTGAGACCCTGTCTCTTAAAAAAAAAAAATTGGCACAAAGTTGGATAGATACAGTGAATTTTCAAACTTTTGGTTTTGTTTTTCAGCAGTGGAACCTTTCCTGGAAACAAAACTTATAGAGAGGGGCATGATGCCACAAAAGAGAGCTTTCTGCTTCTGGCATGGCTCCTTAAGTCCTGTTAGAGCCAACCATCCCTTCGATAACAACGTTAAACTCTAAATTCCTTCTCCACCTCGTCCGCTCATGAAATCAATGACCTGAGGCATTTAGATTCCTCAGGTGGTGGAAGGGGAGAGTGGAGAAATCGAGGGGTGAATCTTGGAAGAAAGAATGGCACTTGGTGAGTTTCTTGTTTTCAGTGACTTTTAGCTAGAAAGAAGGATGATGTTGGTGCCTGTGATACTATGAAATACATATTTGGTGATATGGTTTGGCTGTGTTCCCACTCAAAAATCTCATCTTGAATTGTACTCCCATAATTCCCACGTGTTGTGTGAAGTCCCAGTGGGAGATAACTGAATCATCGAGGAGGTTTCCCCCATACTGTTCTCATGGTAGTAAGTCTCATGAAATCTTATGGTTTTATAAGGGAGACCACTTTGGCTTAGCTCTCATTCTCTCTTCCCTGCTGCCATCTAAGACATGCCTTTTACCTTTCATCATGGTTATGAGGGCTCCCCAGCCACATGGAACTGTGAGTCCATTAAACCTCTTTTTCTTTTCGTTTCTTTTTTTGATTTGGAGTCTCACTCTGTCGCCCAGGCTGGAGTGCAGTGGTACGATCTTGGCTCACTGCGACCTCTGCCTCCCAGGTTCAAGCGATTATCCTGCCTCAGCCTCCCAAGTAGCTGGGACTACAGGTACGTGCCATCATACCCAGCTAATTTTTTGTATTTTTAATAGAGATGGGGTTTCACCATGTTGGCCAGGCTGGTCTCAAACTCCTGACCTCAGGTGATCCGCCCGCTTTGGCCTCCCAAAGTGCTGGGATTACAGGAATGAGCCATCATGCTTGGCCTTTTTCTTTATAAGTCACCCAGTCTCAGATACGTATTTATCAGCTGCATGAGAACAGACTAATACATTTGGTCTTCCCATTTCCTGATATTCAGCTCCTAAAATCCTTGGAATTTAAAAAAGGTTATCTTGAGGCTGAGTGCAGTGGCTAATGACTGTAATCTTAGCACTCTGGTAGATTATCTGAGGTTGGGAGTTTGAGACCAGCCTGGCTAACATGGTGGAACGCTAAAAATAAAACTAGCCGGGTGTAATCCCAGCTACGTGGAAGGAGACCAAGCTACTGCTGTAATGGCAGCTACTGGTGGTGGAGACCCCTAGATGGCTTTAGAATGGGAGCTGGTATTGCAACCCCACCCCTCAAGTTCTAAGGAAGTGAGGGGGCTGAAGGTTAAGTTGAATACCAATGGCCACTGATGTAATCAATCATATCTATGAAATGAAGGCCCCATAAAAACCCCAAAAGATGGATTTAGGGGTAGGGATTCTGGATAGGTGAACACATGGAGGTTCCTGGAAGGTGGTGCCCAAGAGAAGGCATGGAAGCTCTGTGCTCCTTCCCACAAACCCTGCCCTATGCCTCTCTACCATGTGGCTGTTCATCTGTATCCCCTGTAATATTCTTTATAATGAATGGATAAAGGTGAGTAAAGTGCTTCCCTGAGTTCTATTAACCAAGCTAGCAAATTAATCAAATCTGAGTAGGGGGCCTTAGGAACTCCCAATGTACAGTGTGGCCAGAAGTTATGACTGGCACCTGAAGCAGAAGGCAGTTTTTGAGACTGAGCCCTTAATCTGTGGAATCTGACTCTATCTCCAGGTAGATAGACAGTGTCAGGATTGAATTATATTAGAGGTAGATAGTGTCAGAGTTGAGTTTTATTCGAGGACACCTAGCTGGTGTCCACTGGAGAATCTGCAGGAGAACTGGTTGCTTGGTGTATGGGGAAACAAGCTCCAGCCATGTGGAGTCAGAAGGACTGAATGAAGTGCTGTGTAAGAGAAAACAGTTTGAGGAAAATAGTTTTTCCTATACAACAGCAGTGTCTATATAACATAAAGTATCACTAAAGCCCAGATGGAAAATCTGTAGTCTTTCTTTTTTGTTTGTTTTATGTTTTTATTGCTTTTTTTTTTTTTAATCTGTAATCTTTTTGGCCTACAGAACCAGAGGACAGAGTTCAGGGCAAACACAGTCACTGCAAAGTTAGGAGAGAATCCTAGAAAGGAAAAGTCAGAGAGAGGGAGCCCTAAATTTCAGTGTAAATTCTGTCCCAGGGTTTGGGTGACCCATGAACTATGCATGTGTAGGGAAGATGAGAAACACCTCTGCTAAAGATAAAAGAACTGAAGTGATATTTGAGCTTCTGCTCAAGAGAGAAAGAGTCTGACGTTTGAGTAGAACCAAGTTAACTGGCTGCTAAAGCAAAAACACCAACACTCTTTGAAGGAATATAACAAAATCCAGAGTATTTTTTTCCTGTAATTTATACAGGAAAACAGTTTATTGAACTTATAATTCCATGTGGCTGGGGAGGCCTCATAATCATGGCAGAAGGCAAGGAGGAGCAAGTCGGTCACATCTTACACGGATGGCAGTGGGCAAAGAGAGAGCTTGTGCAGGGAAACTCTTGTTTTTATAATAATCAGATCTTGAGAGACACATTCACTATCATGAGAAAAGCACGGGAAAGACCTGTCCCCATGATTTAGTCATCTCCCACTGGGTCCCTTCTATAACATGTTGGAATTACAGGAGCTACAAGATGAGATTTAGGTGGGAAACACAGACCAAACCATATCACCAGATCCAACCTCCCTATATACAAAAGTGATAAACTCTGGACCTCTTGTTGCCTTTCTCTCACACTATATAAACAACCAACTCAAAATAGATTAATGGCTTACACATAAGACCTGAAACTGTAAAAATACTAGAAGAAAACACAGAGGAAAAGCTTCATTACATTGTTCTGAGCAATAGTTTTTTGTAATGGCCATAAAAGCACAGGCAAGAAAAGGAGAAGTAGACAAGTTAGACTGCATCAAACTAAAAAGCTTCTGCACAGCAAAGTAAACAATCAACAGTGAAGAGAAAACTTACGAAACGAGAGCAAATATTTGCAAACCATACATCTGATAAAGGGTTAATATCCAAAATATATAAGGAACTCATATAACTCAACAGCAAGATAACAAATAACCTGATTTAAAAATGGGCAAAGGACCTGAATAGACATTTTTCAAAAGAAGATATACAAACAGCCAACAAGAATATGAAAAAATGCTCAACATCACTAATCAAGGAAATGAACACTAAAACCACAGTGAGTTATCACTTCACACCCATTGGAATGGCTAGTACCAAAAAGATGAAAGTAAGTGTTGGTGAAGATATGGGGAAAGGGAACCCTTGTATACTGATGGTGGGAATTTAAATTGGCATAGCCATTAAGAAAAACAGTATGAAGTTTCCTCTAAAA